AGAGGGGAAGATGACTTATTGTTAATATCTAGGTTCATGAACTTATTGTTAAGATGCTATGAGTTGCTCTACTTTAGAGTTTAGACATGAACTACATGTATTTATTAACTTATCTAAATTATGTGCACTTATATTTTACATTGCATAAGTCGAAAGTCGTACTTAATAGCTTTTTAGCTATTTTATAATATGCGTAAAAAACTTACACTTTTACGTTGTGATTCTATGTTTTACTATCTTACCCATTTTTCGCTTCTAGATAGAATCACGTTTTTTACTGCATTGTCAGCAGGCAAACTTACCCATTCCTGGTATTGTTGGTGGAATTGCCTCATTAAAGTTGGGAACCCAAACTGTTTGCCCTCAAAGACAACCCAGTTTCGAGATCGCCAGATCTTCCACAGGAGGGCAATGACTGCCATGAACAAATGGGGTTGCTGGATGAGCAACATGAACCTTTTCAGAAACAATGAGAAAGTAATAATGTGATGTCGGATGAGTTTTACTATCCCTTGTTTGATTAGAGGCATGTGCATATGAAAGTCCTTGGAGGACCTAGGGGCTAGTATTAATGTGATATCGTATGAGTTGTTTAAAAAATTACACCTAGGTGAACTTAGAACCACTAGGATGAATATCCAGTTAGCAGATAGATCTATAGTGCATCCCAAGGGTATTGTAGAGGATCTACTTGTTAAGATTGGAACCCTCATTAATCCGGTCGACTTCGCCATTCTTGAAATCGATGATAATGTGGAACCCTCATGTAACTTATTAAACAATAATAAATAAATATTTATTTTCCATACCCAATATTTATTAAAACACAAAGCACACGATAATAGTAAATGACCTATAAATTGTTTTTACTTGGTAGAGTTGAGAGGACATTAATATTATACAAAGAAAAACCCTTGAAAATAGTTGAATTTGATCAACTCTCTAAAATTCTGAACTTAATAGTACCTCATATTATATCTCATCAAAATGTTAAGATAATCATAAGAAAATAAAATTATGAATCAATCAAGAATTTGTTGATAAAATTCTAGTTCCTAGTTGGGGACCTTTTTTTATGATAGAAAAGGGGACCATTATTAAATGTTAATTGGAAGCATAATTTTATCTTGAAGAATTTTTTTGTGACTACTTGTGAATGAAGGTGGTTTGCTCTCAATTAAGAAAATGTACGGATTAACATATGTCCTTCAATCGAACGATCATATGTGTCCCCAATAATAAGAGCATATAATCCGTTCTACTTATTCACAAATCACAAATGCATAATTATCAACGATACAATAAAAAAAGATGTACATATCTCCAAAAATAAAAATACAAAGAAAGTGATGTTTCACCAATACCCTAATTGCTATCATTTTTACGTTCTCAACTTTTAGAGGCATGGGCTTTAGATTAGGTTATAGGCTCAGTTAAGTTATTCCTTTATGGTGTAAATGCATTGATAATCCTACTGATCACCTAAATCAATAATAAAGTCCCCATTTATCGAATGCCTAAATTTGGTGTCGTGGCTTGAACCAGAAAAAAAAAGCTTTTGGTACAAGTTGTGGGAGAATTAACTGGTATAAAATGCCTTTTAAAATAATATAATAGATGATTTTCTTTATCGGAATAAAATATTTGAAGTGGTTGTGTGATTAATTGAAAAAATTGCGTGAAAATTAGATTTATGATTGAATAAAATTGCATGAAAGATAGATCATATATGTAAATACAAAATGATTTTGTTGTGATTAATTGATAAATTTGCGAGAGAAAAAAGTATAATTTTTACCTGAATATTATGCCAAATTTTTTTGTTTGTGACAACCCAACAAATTTTGCATACTGTGCCGTTCACACAGAATTTCAACGACTAAGAAACTTCATCATTGCTTTGGATTCACGTTGAAGGCCTCTTCCATGCCTATATTTCTCGACATGTACATTTGTATATGTTGCTTCACACAACCCATCAAATTCTGGGGGGAAAAAAGGCAGTTCCCATGCTGTTGCAGGGATGGGAACGTCTCCAAAGACAGGATTACTAAATAAGGGGCCTAAATATTTAAAAAAAAAAAATTAGAGACCAGTAATGTAAAATATTTTCAATCAAATGTTACTATTACTAGATATTGATAATGTCAAAAGTTCGGAGCAGACGAGGGCTAACAACATTAATTTTACTATAAGGTGGATCAATAAATGGGCTTTTACTAATTCTACTTTTCTTTTGTTTAATGCCTTTCCATGGCCACGCACCAGCCTTTACGCTAGAAATGTAGGAATCGAGCGGAAATACTATGTTTGGTTGGAAAAAAAAAATAGACTTGGGGTGTGTTATTCTCTACATATTACAAATATGTGTTATTCTCTAAATATTAGAGGAAGGGGCTAGTATTTGTGTAATATCATGGTATTGTATTATTTATTCCTATTTTTTTTCCTCCTATCAATTCTCATGTAACTCCAAAAGTGTCCTTGCCTTTTTTTATTTCAAATCTTTGTAAAGGCTTTCTTCGGTCAATATCTCGCCGAATTCATCTCCACCTTCTTCTTCGTGTTCATCGGTTGTCGACTCTTCCATGGGTTCTAGTGAGTCTAACATGTTCTTCCCTTTGTTCATTTATCAGTTGTTAGTCGATGACCCATATGCATTAATAATTGTGACCATAGTCAATGTCCTCGCTTTCTCATTTGTCGTCTATATTTCTGAAGAAGTCGTCCTAGGACACGTCAATCCCCGATCTATGTTCTCGCGAGATTAAAAAAGAAGAAGGTTGGTTTTTATTTATTTAATAAGGTAAGGGTAAATGGATATTTGTTTAGTTTTGAGTGATTATACCAGAACCATAATACTACACCATCTAATCCAATCCAAACATCATATTTAATGAAAATGCTATGGTATTGTTAAACGTTGTAATTTCCAACAATTACCACATTGGTGCATTCCACGCGACCATTTAGATAACATTGCACAAGTCGCACACTACTTGGTTCCTTCCCCTTATCGGCCATAACTCCAAAAATTCAGGAATCCCATAGTAATGGCTATGACTTTTGACCTTTACTTTGCTACTATCACATATAAATAGGTGCCTGCAAAACTTCAAAGGAGAGAGCTGGGTTTTGGATTTCAATAAGAAAGAGGATGAACCCTAGAGAGTTCTTGCTGCGAAACTTAGTGATTTTTTCACCATTATAGCTTAAGGAAGAATCTTAGAAGAGGATATTCAAGATCACAAGATGATATCCATCACCATGAAGTCATTCTTCCTCTCCTTTGTGTTTTCTTCTCTCTCTATGGAGTATACTTCCTTTTCCCTTAAGTATGGGGAACTCTAGCCATGTTTTGTTGAATTGGTGATTGTATGATTACTCTAACTTGCTAAACTCATAATTAATATTCAATTGGTGCATGTTTCATTGAGTTGTCTTTGTCTTGATCATATATTGATAATTTTTGCTTTCACCTAGAAGAGACAATATCTAATTAGGTTGATTAGAGCAATTGATTGGAAGTTGGGGATTGACTGTGCGAAAGAGTCAATCAATTACTTCTTATTGTGTGAGAATACAATAAAGGGAGCCTAGGTCGAATTGCCTTGTCAAGTTGTCTTAATTGAGGATAAGTCCCTTAAAGCAACCCATTCAAGAGGCATTGGTTGCTTTAATCGATATTCAAGCCTTGGTAAGGACTCTCTGCATTATGAACAAAGAGTGAAAAAGTTAGAGAATCGTGATTCGTTAATCCGACTAGTGCCTAAGGCGAATCGTTATCTGGGTGAACTTTCTCATTCTTGAACTTAGTTCATTTAATCGTTTTGTTGTTAATCTTAGTTGTTCAAAGTAATCGTTACCTGTGTGAACTTTCTCCTCACCTTGCCTCAATGATGAAGTCTTGATCACACCCTTGATGGCCTCCATGGCTCCACGTTTAGTGTTTTAGATACTCTCATCTTGTTGCCATCTCAACCACGCCGTCTTGTTGGCTAGACATTGTCACCCATTGTGATTATATGAGGGTTTAGTCCCTTCCACATCTAAGTAGATGACTACTTACCCATCAGAGAACTCAACATGGTGCCATCTTGTAGGCTTGTTACCAACTCCATCTCGGCCACCAAGCTCATCTCATCGACTTGAAACCTTTTGGCTTGCCGATTTGGTACCAAGTCAGCTGGCCACCTAGGATAAATTTCGGCTTGCCACGAAGCCGACATGCTAGCTTGTTAACAAGTCCGTCTCGTCGCGTCGGTACCTTCCTAACAAGCCTCCACCTCTACGGTTTCATACTTATTCTTTAGAAGGTTGGTTTCTTACTAACTCAGGTGCGGCTCATTTGCGCACTATCCACCAAGCTCGTATCATCAACTTGATATATTGTTGCTCTGTTGGCTTGGTACCCTGTCAACCTGTCACCAAGCCCCGTCTTGTCGGCTTGTCGGCAAATTGGTCTCGTCAGATTGTTATCTTGCCTAGTGCCAAGTCTCCACCTCCAAAAACTACATATTTAGTTTGTTGAATCAAAATTCCATACTTACTAGCTTGACACATCCTTCTCGACACCTGGCCTACTGAGACTGGCCGATCGCCTAGGTCAGGGAAAGGGTTGTCTGCCACCGATACCCAAAGATCCAACTCAATAAAGCCCAACAAACTCATTTAATTTTCTGATTTTAAGCTAGTTTTATAAGATCATTAGATCTTTTATAATTAATTAACAACAAACGTGCCATGAAATTAATTTGTAGATGTAAACACACTAGAGTTGAATCAAACTTATATTCAACACGATGGGAACCAATGTAGATGTCAATTCAATATAGCGTAGAACAAATTAATTGCCCACCCTCCCGTCATGAGCCATGACTCCTAATTTGTTATTTTATTTGGGTTTGGTGAGATGATGACTTAATATTTAAGACATTTCCACATAAATGGAATACCACTATAAAACAGTCTACAGCTCCCATCTCAAACCAAAACCAACTAACAACCCTCTCTTCTTCACAATCTCCAAATTTAATACCTCTGAGCAGAGCCAGAGTCAGCTCCGCCGCTTCTCTTCCTCCTCCGACCACCGCGCTGCCATGGCCCACACCGCTCTCCTCTCCTACCTCCTCGTCTTCTCCGCCATCTCCGCCGCTTGCGTCGCCTCCGACCCCGACATGCTCCAAGACGTCTGCGTCGCCGACACCTCCTCCGGTAATTCATCTCCCCTCATTCAATCAATGTCGCCCTCTTCTTCGAACTGAATCTGAATCAAATCTCCGGCGAGATTCCAACAGTTCCCCCCCTAGATTTAATTTTCAAAATCGATTTGTCAATATGCGTTGACTTGAACTGAAATCAAAACCCCAATCCCTAATTTAAATTTCCCCCCCTCCCCCCAAATTGGGTTCTCCCAGGGCCGAAATTGAACGGGTTCCCCTGCAAGCCGGACACCAACGTTTCCGCCGCCGACTTCTTCTTCGCCGGAATCGCCAACCCGGGGGTCGTCAACAACTCCCTCGGGTCCCTCGTCACCGCCGCCAACGTCGAGAAGGTCCCTGGGCTGAACACGCTGGGCGTCTCCCTGTCCCGCATCGACTACGCGCCGGAGGGGCTGAACCCGCCCCACACGCACCCACGCGCCACCGAGGTCGTGTTCGTCCTCGAGGGCGAGCTGGACGTCGGGTTCATCACCACCTCCAACAAGCTGATCTCGAAGTCGCTGAAGAAGGGCGAGGTGTTCGTTTTCCCCAGGGGGCTGCTCCACTTCCAGAAGAACAACGGGAAGAAGCCCGCGGCGGTGATCGCCGCCTTCAACAGCCAGCTGCCGGGGACCCAGTCGATCGCCGCCACTCTGTTCTCGGCGACTCCGGCGGTCCCCGACAATGTCCTGACCAAGGCGTTCCAAGTCGGGACGAAAGAGATCGAGAAGATCAAGTCCAAGTTCGCGCCCAAGAAGGCGTAAATTGGCGGGGGTTTTCATTTTCTTGATGTAATGGGAATTTCATTGAAAAGTGGAGAAAATAATAAAATCATCGCTGCTGGTGAAGAGGAAATGACTTTTCTTTTTGTTATTTATTTTTAGAAATTTCAAATTTGTATCCTTCTGTGCTGTCGTCTATGGATATGTTTTTTTCTTCATTTTTCTCTCCTCTTTTTCCCGCTGAAAAAAGATATATTGAATAAAAAGGGGTGATACTGTTCTACCAAAGAGAAGACAAAAGGGAATAATGGCGTAATTACTGAATTGAAAATTTTGAAGTAATGTGGAGTGCACTTTCTCCTTTATTTGGTTTGATTTATGGATTGGTGACAGCGATATCCAGCCTAATCTCTCCCTCTCGATTACCATTTTGAAGTGCTGAGGACGGCAGCAAAGACATTGGTTTTTTCTCTTTAATGAATAGCAAAAGACATGGATTGTTATGACTTATGTGTACTTTGGATTGAATCGTGTTGTGAGTTATAACTCTCACATGGTCTGGATTTTTTAGGAGAACCATGCTGCAAGTTTTAACTCTCACATGGGTTGGTATTTTAGGATGAACCATGTTGTAAAGTTGCAACTTTCACGTGGTTCGCGATATTAGTCGGATTATGTTAAGCAGATTCCAATAGCATAAGCTCTTTGAATATATGACTACATAGGGTTTGCGAAGACGAGGGACAATGAGCATAGCATGTCTACGAGGTTGAGGTTGAGGTTGATGAGCATGGATGCGAGGAAGAGGTTGAAAACTAATACCCTTGTGTTGGAAAAGTGGCATTCCAAGCATGCTTTCTTCCATATGCATATATATAATATAATCCCCTCTTTTGTGCCTCGTGATTCCTTTTTCGGGATGTCTGAATTTTTGAAATTTTGCACCCACGATGCCAAATGGGAGAAGGGTATCATATTCTGGCATAACGCCCCCATCAACCAGGACGAGATTTTATGGGACGAGTTCCACAAGGTGGAAAGATGGGTTCATCCCCTCGATGATCGAATATTCAAAGTTGATCTGTTGGAACTATTCTCTATTTATGACTCATCTATCGCCATGTTTACGAGGGGGTTCTTGTCCTCTTTTGAGCAACAATGTCACCCAACATATAGCTACGAAGTCTGCATGACTTACAAGTTGGGGAAATGCACTTATGAAGAGAGTTATTGTTCCCTAGCTCATAACCTATGAATTCCTTTTCAAGCTATTTAAAATTGGAATTTTTCTTTCCTTTTTAGGATAACATCACTAATATTTGATGAAGTCTTTGAATTTATGATAGAAAGGATAACAAATTTTGTCTAATGCACAATTATTACACATTGGGGTGTGTTTTTGTACTAGTAATGCTTTTTTCTCTCGGTTCTGACTTATTAATGTTTCATGGTCTTCATCAAATAATAAATTATACGTCTAAATGTATGCTTTTAATATCTGTAAAACTCAGTGATGCAAACTGATAAATTTTATTGAATGGACACAACAAACTACGTATATGATTTTCAACCTTCAAATCTAGCTTTCCACTAACCAACTAACCCTGAAAATAGCTAACCATCCCACTAAAACTCAACACTAAGCTGTTGATTAGTTTGAAGCCTCTAACCCACGATCAAGACCCAAATGACTGACTAGAAAATTAGAGTGGCGAAAGTGCAATGAACCAAAATAACTCATCAACAAACATAACTAAAATTCAAATGCCCTAGCACCCTAGGTTTGATTCTCCAATTTAGTAGCTTCTAACATCCTTCCCTAAACTGAAGCCTTTTACCTCTTCAATTTATTGCTGCCACTTCATCAACATCACACACACCCATCCGCTCTCGCATTAGTTGAAATTTCTCTAGCTTTAATGCCTTGTTCATAATACCTGCAACTTGCTCTCCAGTTTCCACATGCCCCAGCTCCACGATGCCCTTAATTTGCAATGTTTCTTAGAAAGTGAAACCTTACATCTATATGTTTACTTCGTTCATGAATTAGTGGATTCCTCGAGCGTTTAATTTTGGATAGGATGTCATAACAAATATTTGTTTCTTCTTTCACACAATCCTCTCATCCCATTTGACACAAAAACACATTGAGTAGCACAGTATGAGGCTGGCACAAATTTTGCTTCAGTGGTGGAGAGGAGGACCACATGCTGCTTCTTTGACTTTAGGAGATTGCTCCACCCGCAAGGAAGAAAACATATCAACTGGTGCTCTTTCTATCATCATACCTCGCCAACATATAAGTTGTTGTGGTATACAACAAGCTAACTATATGTGTATCCCTGCAAGAAAACCTTCCAATCTTCCTTCTTGTACCAAATTCCATAGCTTAGTGTACCTTTCAAGTATGTCAATACTCTTTTTAACAAGCAATACTAAGTGCATAATATATGGTCTAGTTGTTGTGGCACACAACAAACTAACTATAAGTTGTTTATACTCGGTGGCATCGACCAAATTGTCAAGACCAGTTGATCCCAATAACTCGAGTTGTTGGGAGAGGTTCCATAATTGATCTTATACCACACACTAACACGTCCCCTCAAATGAAAGTCACTCACAAGGGCTTGAAGTTTGCACAGGTCCGTCACCATGTGCTTAACAAATTGGGATCGTGGGGATTCTAACACAAGACCTCTCGGTCACAGAAGGCTCTGATGTCATGTCATAAACCAACTGGTCACAATAACTCGAGTTGTTGGGAGAGGTTGCATAATGGATCTTATACCACACACTAACACAAATTACCATCTCCTTCCTTTGTCATCTTGATTCTAGGAGACATTGGATTCTTGACATGATTGCACTCCAGAAGCTTAAACCTCTCTAGCACTTCCTTTGCATACTTTGGTTGGAAAATGAAAACACCAGTAATGTTTTGATTCACCTAAACTCCTAGAAAGTATTTCATCCTCACTAGATATGTCATCTCAAATTGAGCTTCCATTGACTTCTTGAAGTTTGCAATCATGGTAGGATCATTGGTTGCATACATTACATCATCAACATACAAACTCATGAGTAGGATGTTGTTTCTAGTTCTTTTTGAAAACAAGGTATGATCATAGGAATATTTTTTTGAAGCCATTTGCATCAAAGTACCTTCAAGTCTGTTGTACCATAACATTACAAATACAAGTTTAGTTTGTACCATAACAAAATTTGTAAAATTTATAGACTTTAAAACTACAAGTTAGAACTTATACCACAGTTACTATAAATATAAAGAATTGTCACTAAGAATCTACACAATAAATAAAAGCCAAATGAGAAAACTTGAAGCCCCATTTCAAATTTCCTGCATCCAGAGTGAAAGTAGGAAGGACATTTTGGTTTTCACAATTACTTTTTTTATTCATTAGAAAGACACTTACTAGGATTCGAACCATGACCACTTTAAAGAAAAGCAAAGATCATAACCAACCACGCTAAGTACATTTGTTGTATCTTCTTAAATTAAAAATATATAATTGCAGAGAGGAAGAAACCCTTCCCCCATTTCAAATTCTCTGCTCCAGGAGCATTTGTAGGAAGGGTAGAATAGGGAGTGTCAATTTTTTTTTTTCCTCTGTGGAGCGGGACAACTTACCGTACACATGCAGATTTAAACGGGTCCAGGAGTGTCAATTTTTTTCTTTAAGTCCTTTTATTTCTCCGTGGTGGTAAAATATATATGAAAAGGCAAAAACAATACTCCTTTTTATTGCTGAAAAGAAAAAAATTTAACAATAAACTAATGCATGGATTCTAATGGGCTTACCGCTAATCATAAAATAAAAGAGTTGAATGAGCCTGACCTACACGGGATTTGCCCATCAAGTAAAACAAATGAACATCATGGGTTTGTCATTCTAAAACAAGCTATTTTCTCTAGCATAATATATATTATGCTATTATTTTATATCTTAGTGGCTAAAATATAATGTATTTTAAAGTTATTCAATGGTTCAACCTCGACCAACCCAATTAGTCCAATTTTTATAATTTCAAATATATATTATGTAATTATTTGATATCATAATGATTAAATTATAGTGTATATTATAGGAAATCGTTTGGTATTTGTTAGTAAAAAACTAAACAGAAAGATCTATTTGGTTATTTTTAACATTAAAACGATGCTAAACATTTTCAGTTTCCTTTCGAAATTCTATAGTTTTATTCCCGAATCAGTGATGTGCAAATGGCGAATTGCAGTCATCTCTTTTCTTTCATTATTTTAATTTTCAAATAGAAAGTTTAAAAGTAAAGAATAATTAGAGTTTGGCAAGGGTCGGTCAAACAGGCAGAATTTCAAGTTTTGGCCCGTTTTGATAAAGTCTAATTTATAATCACATGGTTCCCTGATACCCGATAAAAATCTCAATCCAAACCAGTTTGGCAGGTGAATCCGTGTTTACCACCATTTTCGAGGGATACAGGAACGGTGGTTCCTATACCAAATTGTGTTGTTCATTCTTGATTTCTTTAGATTTTATCATGGCTTGGCGAAAAACCAGAAAACACAATGATGACAAGATGAAAGTTTTATAAAGCAAATTAATCGGCCAACGGGCCGAGTAAAAGCTAGCAACGATTGTGAGATGCTCATTTCCCGAAAACCGGGGTGATAGGCGATTTTTTATTCGATTTTCTGGAATTCGGTTTCTATAAAACTTACTCCACCTCATCATATTACCAGAAACAATATTGTTTCACAAGGTAACATGTACTTGATTTTGGTTCATAAGGCTGATTTTTGATTCGTTGCATCATTCATGTCTCTTTCCTACTAAAATTCACTATTTTTATCACGTGTTTAAAAAAAAACTATACAACAATACCATTATATTATCAAATTTCATACCTCACAGCCACGCTAGTATAAAATAATTTGATGTAGTTTTTCCATTTTTGTTGTACTCCATTATTCCTGGCGTCTCGTATTTTTCCATTTTTGTTGTACGCCTTCATTCTTGGCGTTTCGTATTGTTGACGGTTCACTGTCGCTTTATTGTTTCCACAGCATAACACCTTTCTACTTCTCTCCCCACGCTCCCAAAACTAACCTAAGCAAAAAGCAAACCAGAGCTTAGCACCACTACTAGCTAGCAGAAAAAAGAAGAAACCCCCTCATTCCCTTCCTCCATGGGAGACCATTCCACCTTTCTGCTTCTCTTCTACTAATCTTTTTAGGAAGAGAAGCTCTGCCGCTTTTCTCCCTTCCTTTCCCCCTTCACTATTTCGCTAAACCCATCACCACTCTTCACTCTTGCCTTTCCCCTTTCATTTCCTCCTCCCTGGATTCGAACCCACAAACAGAAAAGGAGAGCCCAAGCTCTAAAACATGCCCCCAGATCATCCCCGCCGCAGCTCGCCGCTGAAATCGAGGGTTCCCCACTTCTTCTCTTCCGCCGCCGTTGTTCTGGCTGTGCTTTTCTGCTGCTCGCTTGCTTCGGGTGATGACAAACATGCATTGCTGGAGTTCAAATCTGCCCTGACGAAAGACCCTCTAGGGCTTACCTCCACTTGGGACCCTAAAGATCCCGACCCGTGTACCTGGCATGGCGTTACCTGCGACTCCCTTTCCCGGCGAGTTACGGCTCTCCAGCTTTCCTCTCGCGCCGAGGGCTCCGCTTGTTCTCTGTTCTCGCTCTCGGCAAGCTCGACGACGGCTGCGAATGGTAACTTCTCTCTGCTCTTCCCTTGTTTAGGAGTTAGCCTTGATGTTCTGCCGAAATTGGAAGGCAAATTGTCGCCTAAGCTTGCCCAGCTGTCTCAGCTTAGGATTCTGTCACTGTCGTTTAATGGTTTGTCCGGGGAGCTGCCTCAGGAGATTGGCCAACTTCAGTCGTTGGAAGTTCTTGACCTGGGGTTTAATGCTTTTCATGGCTCGATACCGATTGCCCTCCAGAATTCTTCTTCCTTGCGTGTGATTAATCTGTCCGGGAATCTGTTGAATGGTACGATTCCAGCATTCTTTGAGCAATTGAGGGGTCTGCAAGTCGTGGCATTGTCTTTTAATCTGTTGAGTGGTTCGATCCCAGTGGAATTAGGAGATAATTGTGGTAGCCTGGAGCATCTCCTTCTTAATGGTAATTCGCTAACAGGTTCGATACCTCTGAATCTAGGAAGTTGCAGAGAGCTGCGCTCTTTGTTACTGTCTTCGAACTTGTTGCAAGATGATGTTCCTTCAACTCTTGGGAATTTAACAAATCTGGAAGTGCTTGATTTGTCAAGAAACTTCTTGAGTGGAAACATTCCTCCCGAGTTAGGAAACTGCGAACAGTTGAAGCTGCTTGTACTGAAAAATACGTATGGCCTTCTCTGGTCGAGGAGTCCTGCAAGTTCAAATATTGAGGAAGAAGAAAGAGGTGAGGGAGAGTTCAACTACTTCGATGAAAACTTGCCCGAGAGCATCTTAAAGCTCCCTAATCTTCGTGTGCTATGGGCACCATACTTGAATCTGGAGGGCCGCTTTCCCCAAATTCTAGGTCCTTCATGCAACTTGAAGATGCTGAATTTGGCTGGAAATTATTTTTCAGGAGGAATACCAGTGTCCCTTGGTAATTGTAATGGCTTGACTTTTCTTGATTTGAGCTCCAACAACTTTACTGGGCCACTTCCTTCAGAGTTCTCCGTCCCATGCATGATTGTCTTCAATGTTAGTCATAACACTTTATCTGGCGATATTCCAAGATTCTCTAGCAGTCGCTGTGGAAATGTGTCTATTGACACGGTTGAGAATGCACTTGGTTTCTACTCATCCTTCTTTTATGCCAATGCTGTCAAGGGAATTACATCTTTCAGTTTTCCTTCTAGTGACTTGGCTGTTCTGCATGATCTGAGCAATAACCTCTTCACGGGTCTAGTTCCTCCCCTATTCATTGCCTCAGAAAGCTTCCCTCGGAAACCTTTTTATGGATTTTGGTTGGCTGGTAATAACCTTGGTGGCAATATTACTACTTTCTCGTTTGAGCCATGTTCTAACTTGAATGGCTTGGTTTTTGATGTTGGGAACAATAAAGTTGTTGGTGAAATGCCTTCAGCCTTGGGAAGTAATTGTAAATGCCTGAAGTTTCTCAGTTTGGCAGTAAACAGTTTAATTGGTTCAGTTCCTCCTAGCTTTGCTTATCTTGATTCTCTGGTGACTCTTAATCTGAGCAGTAACAGACTGCAAGATACCATACCATCCTATTTAGGGCTGATGAAAAACTTGAGGATTCTGTCAGTATCTAGCAACAATTTTTCTGGGGTTATACCATTGGAATTGGGCCAGCTGTCTGCACTAGAGGTTTTGGATCTTTCTTCTAATTCTTTGTCCGGCGAGATACCTCCTGATCTTTCGAAACTTGAACATCTCAGTGTTCTGCGGTTAGATCATAATCACCTTTCTGGGAAGATACCCTCCGGATTCAGCAACACAACATCTCTGTTGGTACTTGATGTGGCCTTCAACAATCTATATGGACCCCTTCCCCTGAATCCAAATTTAGTCAAATGCGACTATTATAGGGGAAATCCTCATCTTGAGCCATGTCATGGTGACACGTCAACCCCTGAATGGGAGCAGGAACATTCTGGCAATGTGTCTCAGCAACAGGCTAATACGCCCTCTGGAAGCAAACCTCCTAGGACGAGCACTCATTTGAACCCGATAGAAATATCCTCCATCACATCAGCCTCGGTCATTGTTGCTGTCCTCATTACTTTAGCTATTGTGTTCTTCTGTTTGAGGAAGTTTTCCTTTTGTTCTACATCGGGCCAGGGGTCAGGGGTAAAAGAGGTTATAACCTTTAATGATATTGGTGTGCAGCTGACATATGAAAATGTTGTAAGGGCTACTGGGGGTTTCAATATTCAGTATTGCATTGGAAGTGGAGGGTTTGGAGCAACATATAAAGCTGAGATTGTTCCTGGAGTTATGGTGGCAGTCAAGCGGTTGTCAATAGGGAGATTCCAAGGATTTCAACAATTAAGTGCTGAGATCAGAACTCTTGGAAGGGTGCAGCATCCGAACCTCGTGAAGCTGATAGGTTGTCATGTTAGTGAGTCTGAAATGTTTCTTATATACAACTACTTGCCAGGTGGCAATCTTGAAAAGTTCATCCAGGAGAGGTCCAGGAGAGCCGTGGAATGGAGCATGCTTCACAAAATTGCCCTTGATATTGCCCGTGCCCTAGCTTATTTGCACGATGAGTGTGTGCCTAGAGTACTCCACCGTGATATCAAGCCGAGCAACATATTGCTGGACAATAAGTTTAACGCATATCTTTCTGATTTTGGTCTTGCTAGGCTCCTTGGTACTTCTGAGACCCATGCTACAACTGATGTGGCTGGGACTTTTGGATATGTTGCTCCTGAATATGCAATGACATGTCGTGTCTCTGACAAGGCTGATGTGTACAGTTATGGTGTTGTCCTTCTAGAATTAATGTCCGATAAAAAAGCCCTGGATCCTTCATTCTCTTCCTTTGGTAATGGCTTCAACATCGTTGGCTGGGCATGCATGCTTCTTCGGCAGGGTCGAGCTTCTGAGTTTTTCATGGCTGGGCTATGGGATTCTGGACCTCATGATGATCTGATTGAGATTCTTCACTTAGGGGTTATGTGTACTGGCGAATCTTTTTCGTCTAGGCCTTCCATGAGACAAGTGGCTCAGCGTTTGAAGAGGATTCAGCCTCCACCATCTTAACAGAAAGTTTGCGACCACGCATCTCATATTGTAAGTATATGCTGTAAGCTAATGATTTGTAGTATTTTCCATATCAAAAAGTTCATTGGCTTTGTATTCCTTTAGTAAAGAAGTTCATCAACATGTCCTTGCACAATTGTGTATTCCTACATGAAAATTTGCATTTTCTTACTGGAATCATTCAATGACTTCAATCTGCTCAATGTAGCTGCTTTGACCACACCCATGTTCAAGCAAATGTTTCATTGGCTTCTGTCAGTTTCGTTCAATTCCAGTGCATATAATATAGAGTTAACATTTGGGAATTGCCAAAAGTACCCTTTGAAGTGTCCCTTTTGCTATGTTGCAAATGCAATACGAGTGTTTAGAGATGTAATAGTGGGCAGCTGAGAGTCAGAAAGTGGAGAGAATGATATTCTAATGCATGTTACACCTGTCTAGTATAGAACACCTATTCATGGCATTAACCAGAAGTATCTGCTGCAGTTTTATGCCTATGATTCAAAGCTTCAGACTTCCGATGAAACTCTGATTGCTTAGGATGGCGAGAGTTTCTGATGGAGTTCTCGAAGCTCGGATGGCTTTACTTGGTGTATAACCATTAACCTAAGGCTGGCTCTCCTTCCACGGCTTTCTACTGACCAAGATTGTTGGAACATCTGGTGAGCTCTTTTTTAACTGCCTGTTAAATTTTACATAACTTGATAACCAACAGTGTTAACAGTTAATTGCATGTTTCATTATTTCTTAAGGTTTCCTGTGCTGATTGTGAAATGGTTCATCTTTATATTAGTATTTTTATAAATTGCGGGGATCCGTGGCATTTAGCTAATCCCAAAAGCATAATTTATAACCTCTTCCTCGACGCTCATCTTGATGTGTGTCAAAGTCTTGAATCCACATCCATAGCGTGTTTTCTTTATTTTTATGTTGGACTCAAGTGGCGGGAAAACTTGGTGTTGTTACCATGCTTGAACCAATATGGGGCATGAGATATAGACTAATACTTTTTATTGTTACAGTGCTTCAACAAAAAACAGTATAATGTTCTTCTTGGGTATATTCTATCAGACTACCAAACTTGACCAAAAGAACTGCAGTATAAATTTTCTTAGCATGTTTATAGTGTTGATATTTGTGTGAGGAGTACTCTGCCTAGAATTCTGGACTGTCATTTTTAGTTATACCCTTACCGCATTATTTCAGGAGTTTAGGCGCCTTTCATTAGCGAGCTAGGAAGTTAGGAGTTAGCTCCGATGTCCGCGGACTCGCGCAAAAGTTGCGTGACCTAAGGTAAGGTTTATGCCTGGGAGGATATTACTTTTTATGGAAAAACTAGCTTATTTGACATCAGAACACCTCACAGACTGCTAATTTGCCTGGTGGAAGAAGCAACGGAAACTCCATTTTTCGCCAGCAATGCTTTCAAATTCCAAACTTCAACATCTTGCTTGGAGTAAAACCTTGCTTCTCTTGAAGACTCTGATTGTCTTGGCACCAAGGGTGAAGCAACGTAAAACAGAGAGCAGTAAGTTGTTAGTAAGTTTCCTTCATCTGGTATGGAGCTAGAGAAGGCAGCGATGGTACACACGACACGATCCAGTTAAGTGCTGCTGATGATTGCCACTTGCAAAATGCAACATGGAACCAAAGTGGGTCGTAAAGTATCATACTTTTACTACCCTGGGGATGGAAACAGTCACATATTCGATCCTTTTCTCATCTATGCACGGCAGGTTAAAGGTATTCCGCCACCAAACCATGACTCTAGATTCCCCTGTTTTTACCCTTCTACCTTTTTTTGTTGTCCTCAACATGAGTTCCGTTTTGAATGGCAGATGCGAAAGGGAAGAAGCGATAAGGAACTTTTCGATGCAATTTGCGTGCTTTCCTTCAAAGCTTTGGTTATCTTTGAAGGGGCTAATTGACGGCCCTTGTTAATTGTACAGAATTCCTCTTTGTACAAGTGTGAATAAATGGCTGGTAGCAAGAGGTGAAGTTGATGGTTTTAGGGAAATTATTGGTGAAAGAAAGTGGGTTCAGATTTTGGGGGGATGCTCCCAGTCTCTTTTTTGTGTGTGATTAATTGGTATTTGGTATCACAAACATGATTGCAGCAGTTGGGAATGAACTCCTCAAATTGTGGAATTAGATTCTTTCTTTGTCCTTCCTACATGATTTTCTGTTTCTTCCTTTGTAGGCAAAAGATATTAATTTTTTTTAATGTTTCTGGCTTTATGGGCATGTTCTAATTGGGCTATATAATGAAAAAAGCTTCTTTGTCCAAAAATAAAAAAGAAAATGCTTCTCATTTCTCAACAATCTCATAGCCTATCTACTTCCCACTACATAATATGAGCCCCAAAAAAAAAAAAAAAAAGATTGAAACCTCACTGACATATGAAAAACACGAACAGGGAAAAAGGCAAAAATTTGGTTGTCCTGCTTCTATCATCCTGTGTAAACGAATTTATACAAAAGAGTTCTTCTTGTGACTAATAAGAAATTAAAAATGAAGGGTTGACATTTTTGGGTTGTTTGCTTCTTTCTTTTTATAATTTCTCAAGAAACTTGACTCACTCATTTTTTTTTATGGTCTGTCAGCTTTCAAAAGAAACTTGGCCTTCATTCATTGATTCATTCCCATAGGACATGTTTCTCAAGTACTTCTGTCTCTCTATCATATGATAGTTCCTTCTTTTATGACACAGTTTTTCATCACAACTGTAATTCCTGATCTTATGTAGAATCCCTCTGCTGATCTCTCTGCCTCTTCCACCTTCTGCAATGACACAACATAAAACCCCAAAGGAATTGGTTAGAAAATCAGATGAACAAACTAATTGTTAGTTTTTTTTTGTAAGGAGTCAAGAACTCTTTAGCTTGGTTGAGATCTCCGAGTTCGCTATTTGGGAACAAAAATCACTCACATCCTTGTTTGCTATCACCACGTTGCTACCAATTCTAGCATTCTTGTCGATGATACAGTTCCTACATCATCACACAAGTAAAAAAAACATAGTAATTAATATCATTATATTAAAAAAAGGTAATGCCTAGATTATGATCACAGCTTGTGCTTACATGATCTTGGTATCTCTCCCGACACCAACGGGAACTCTTCCATCAGCTAGATCGGCTGCTATCTCCGCCTCGGTCTGGTAGTAATCAGCTCCCATCATCATAGTATCCTGCACAACAGAGTGTTGTTTCATTCATATGATCACATTTTTGGCTTTTACAGTATGAAGATTGAAATGTGACGAGTTAAAGGTTACTGACCTTGATCTCAACTCCAAACTCCAGTCTTGAGCGAATCCCAACAATGGAATGTTCTACACTGCACTCATTCAAGAAGCAACCATGGGAGATTATGGAGTCCTTCACGTGGCACTTCTCTATCTTTGTTGGTGGCAGAAACATGGGGCAGGTGAAGATTGGCTTCCTTGGGTCAGAGAACTGGAAATTGGGATTCTACAAGTGGAAGAGAAACTTGGAGTCTAAGAAAACCAGTGCAGTGATATACATGGAAAGAAGAAGAACATGTCATGTTTTAGGGACATCAAGGTAGGAACCAAACCTGCTCAGTGAGTGCTAAGTTGGCATCGAAGAAGGATTTTATGGTGCCAATATCTTCCCAGTACCCATTGAATAGATATGCCTGCCCTTGAATGATTTCCATGGTTCAAACTACCAAAACTGTTAAAAAGAGAAGGAAATGAAAAACCAGTTGGTTTGCTTTTACCTGAACATTATAATGTTTGAGAGACATTGGGATGATTTCTGATCCAAAATCATTGGCTGTTGGATAATGCAACCTGCAACAATTTGGTTTTAATGCATCCCATGTATGTATCAGTCTATTACTTAACAACCCAAGTAAGAATGGAAGCGAAAGCAGCAGAGCGGATCAGATCTTTGCTTAAACAAGTACCTTAGAAGTTTGAGCAACACATCTTTCTTAAACAAGTATACTCCCATTGATGCAACATATGGTGACCTGTTTGCTTCTTCAGCTGATAATCCGAGGATCGTGGTATCCACTTTCTGTAACAATTTCAAGACTCTCGATCAAGATTCGTTAAAGGTGGGACCGAGTGTCAAATCGATGTTCCATTAGAGGAACTATGAAACAAAAACTAACCATAGATTGCAAAGCATCACCCTTGGGCTTCTCATGGAACTGATTGATCCTTCCTGTTTCATTTATCTTCACCAACCCAAAATCCGAGGCACGACTGCATCCAAATCAAAATAAAGAAAGAAAGAAAACCACATTGTTTCAATGATGATGATCATAGTAAACTGTGTGGATCTCAAGCTAAATATATGTAGTACCTGTCATCAATAGGTATGCAAGAGACAGAAATATCAGCTCCTGTGTCAATATGCTTCTGCAGATAATCATTTTGGACAGTGTTCATTGTCAGTACACATCAGAAAGCCCAAAAAGAAACAAGTGAAGTGATGAAGCTAAAACAAACCTGCACAAAGTCCATGTAGTCCATCCTGTAGATATGATCACCAGATAGTATCAAAACATTCTCAATGTGCCTTAGCTTCGCATCCTGCAAATGTACCAACACTAGAGTGCTTCATACACAAATCTTACACCTCAAAACAACAACAACAACAACAAAAAAAGAAAGTGAAAAAGTGATGATTTGGAAACCATGTTACCTCAAACAACCAGATGAATTGTCTGACAGCATCTGCTGTCCCCTGAAACCATCTCTTCCCATACTGACCAGGTGTTTGTGTAGCTGCCAAAACCTAAAACCCAAATGCATAAGAAAAATGAGATGATTGAGTATATGGGTGAGAAGATTAAAGTTACATGGGTGTAAATGTAAATAATTATTACCTCCACAAACCCATCACCAAAGTTCACACCATTTGCAGAGCTGTATGTTCTAGCAATGTGGCGATGGAGGGATTGGGAATTGAACTGAGTGAGGATGTAAATCTTGTTGATCCCACTGTTGATGCAGTTGCTCATTGGGACATCAATTAGTCTGTAGCACCCTCCAATTGGCACCTAAATCCCAGAAGAAGAAGCAGAAGAAAAACAACCACATTAACACACTCGTTACACCGCGTATACTAAGATATGGCCCGCTCGCTTGCGCTTCACGCGAAAAAATAAAAAAAGATCTTACGGCTGGCTTGGCCCTTCTTCGAGTGAGAGGGAAAAGCCTGGTTCCTGCTCCTCCACCTAGAATTATCGACGCGACAAATTTTGGGTCTGCTTGATGTTGCTCAACCATTGGTGCCTGATCAAACGTTCAACAACAACAACAAACAAACTCCATCAACCAAGTTATTTATTTTGAAATTTAATTTTTTCTATCACTAAAATTACTTACCGTAGTGACATCATTATTGGGCACAATAGAGGCTTTTGTGACGTGGTGGTTGTGATGATGAGAAAGCTTCTTCTTCTTCAGTAAATTATTATTACCATTGGCGGGTTTCGGCCCACAAATTGAGGCTTTCCAATTACCCTTTGAGTCCAGTTTGCGGCCCATGAATGGTGACGACATTATGCATCTCTGTAACTCTGCCACCACGGCCATTGCTGTCGTAAATCTCCTTCCAAACCGCTGCTGTGAATATCGTTTTCCTAACTCATCTGTACTCCATCGTAAGAGCATGAATCATGCGCGCGTTTTAACGTGTAACGCAAAATAATCTCGTATAGTTGTTGACGAACACACAAAAACAAAAGAATTTATAGAGAGAGACACAACCAAAGAAAGGCAAATTAGGATTTTTTACCATGATAGGAGAGGTGGCCGTGGAAAGCATCGTCGCTATCTTCAGTTCACCGCCTCACCATCTTCACTGTATAGTTGTTTGTTGAACAATTGGAAATGACGGAAGTTGCTCTAATTAATGATCGATTGGTTTCTACTTTTAATTTTTTTTTCTTTTGCTGCAACGAGGAATGAAAATGATATGTTTTTACCACCCTAAGCAATTCTTTTTTTTTGGTTTTTACCCTGTTATATTGAAAGTATTTTTAGTCTTTGATTTTAATTAGTTAGAAATGCAATTTTGACTCGATCCTTCTTTCAAGTTTAGTGCGGAGAGATGCGCGCGACAAATAAGGTGATTTCGTACTTTCTTTGTTTTGAATTATTCCCCCTCTGTGACATTACTAACAATTCCTCTATTTATTTCCATTTTTTACCTTCCTCACTAGGCTTTAGTCTTCCTTAATTTCTTCAAAATTTGGCCATAATAATGGTATAAAGTTTTTGGGTGTTTGACCAATCATACCCAAAAATAAAGAGCTGAAAATGCATCACATTTGACACAACGATTTAATGATAGTGACTGTTCACCTTCTCAACCTGTAAATATAATTCACAATCTAGTTTTCCTACTCGTAAGAAAAGTAAAAATTCATTTTTTATCACTGTATGAATGAGCGGCCCAGCCTGGTTCGATGAGCCCATAACTATGTAGGCCGCAATTCCAAATCTCATGCCTTTTCGGGCTTCAGCAATTATATTGGGCCGAATTAACTTTTTAATTTCTAGTTCAGTGAAAGCCCAAACAAGTCAGGGATACTATTTTAGAGCTTGCCACAAACCTTCGTATAAAACCCTCGCGATTTCTCCTTTTTCCTCCGTAGAAGCAGCAAAGGGTTTTCATCTCAATCCGTCCGTCCCCCAAAAAACCCTAAACAATGGCGGCCGTAGCAGCAACGACATCGCCCGTCGAGTCCGTCCAGTGCTTCGGCCGGAAGAAGACCGCCGTCGCCGTCACCCACTGCAAGCGAGGGAGGGGACTCATCAAGCTCAACGGGACTCCGATCGAGCTCGTGGAGCCGGAGATCCTCCGTTTCAAGGCCGTCGAGCCGATCCTCCTCCTCGGCCGACACCGCTTCAGCGGCGTCGACATGCGGATTCGGGTCAAGGGAGGCGGGCACACCTCCCAGATCTACGCCATTCGTCAGAGCATCGCCAAGGCGCTGGTAGCTTTCTACCAGAAGTTTGTGGACGAGCAGAGCAAGAAGGAGATCAAGGACCTCCTCGTCGGCTACGACAGGACTCTGCTGGTGGCCGATCCCAGGCGCTGCGAGCCCAAGAAGTTCGGTGGCCGTGGTGCCCGTTCTAGGTTCCAGAAGAGTTATCGCTGAGCTGCGGGTGATTTCGTTCTGTGTCAATTTCAATTATGCTGCTGGGTTATTATTATATTTTGATTCCTCAACTTTTGTTGCTTGGAGAACTGGAACTTGTTTAGTTTTTACTCTTTTTCAAACAAGGGTTTTTGGATTGTGAAGAGCGTCCTTCGTGGCCCTCCTATGAATGTTAAGGTCTAATTTGCAGCCTGGAATGCATTTAGTTTCACATATACCGTTTCATTGATTTCGATGAGCTCTAGTGCCTGCTTGTTGAATGTGATATACCTTTCATTGCTGCCTTTGTTAGGACTAGCCGAGTAAGCCATAGGTTAATGTTCTGCATTGTTTTTTTGGCTGGCTGAGCTACTGTCCGCGTGTGGTTACGACGAGAACTTAGATCAGGACGAGCTTATAGGAATGAGATCGTGCCCATTAGGGATGTGGTTCATTGTCTGCTTACCTTAGTTGCTACTTGAACAAGGGGTTTGGGGGCTTAGTTGCTACCTTAGTTGCTTACCGTAGGCATATCAGTTAATGAGCTTGCTTGTTGAATGTGATACTCCTTTCATTATCCTATGGTGATAGTAATTTTGTTACTACTGCCTACTGGCATGCTGCCTTTGTTCGGACTAGCGAAGCAGGCCATAGGTTTAAGGTTTTGCCTTGGTTTAGGCTGCCTGTGCTACTGTCCCGTTTTTGGTTCCGATGAGAACTTAGATCGGGATGAGCTTGTAGAAATGAGACTTGCCAGGTAGGGATTTGGTTCATTATTTGCTTGGCATAGTTGCTACTTGAACAAGGGGTTAGGGTTACAACAAACGTGGACGTATCGGTTTATAAAGCTTGCTTGCTCAGTAGTAGTTGAACCTTCAAAGTGAAATGGCTGTTAGGTTAGTGGGATGTTAAAGAGTAGGAGTACACCTTAAGGTGCACTATTTGTTACTTGTCATCCATTCTTGGTTGAAACTAGAGATTTGGCTATCGATGGTTGGTTGTGTGTTGTGACCTCAAAGTTGGAGATGTGAGAACTATTTGTTACTAATTCTTCCACAATCAATCTCAGCTGTACCATAAAGGGAACTTCTCTTCCACAAACCCACCAATATCCTTAAATAAACTGCATTCATCCGAACCCTCAATCTTTGTCTCCCACACTATTGCATTACTATACCCGTTCGTACCTCAAGTGCATATCTAATGATTATGGCGGAAATCGACAGCTCAACAAAAGAATGCAACTAAAATCATTCAATCCGGACTGCCATTCAATTCGGGTGCCAACTGTCTTGGAACACGTTAATCATCGAATTTTACAATCAGCATTCGATTCAGGTGCCGACCCTCGATTTATTTGCCTGGTCTTTTAACAATTCTTGAACTACAAGGATTGTCTGCCTAGCTATCTATCTATCTACTTCATCTCATGCTAATACCAGCTAGCACACAGAGCTATTAACAACACCGAGCTGTACACAGACACATGAACACACATTACCTAATCAGGCTATTCACGCCTTTTCCACGCCCTACTTATCGATCCTCAAGTTATTGCAGAGATGTCCTAGTTCAGGCCTACTCTTCATCCACTCTGTGAATCTTGTTTCTGTCGGCTTCCGGCTGTTGAGGTATGATCTGAACGTTATCAGAAAGAAGTACCGCCTACATCAAAATGAAACATTTCTCATAGTTACTTAATCAGAAAGCAGTTCTGAAATTGGAGTAGGAATCATGTTAGCAATTGGCAGAGAAAACTGGTAAAGGAGGAGGACCGAACAAAGCACAATTCAATGCAATGAAGTGCGCTGAACAAACATCCTATGTGACAACCTAAAGCAAATATTTTAATTATCAAGCAAAGTTGAAAATAATGTCAGGAACAAGCACCAAGAATGCTTCTTGAATTACTCTTTCTTCATATTTCATGATGCAGAGCAAGCCTCCTAATAATCAGAAAGGCTTGCATCCAACAAAGTCGAGCTAAGATGCAATCTCATATGAAAATTGATACAAATTAACTAAATATGTACTGACCTCAAAGCCTTAATGCCCATATCCATGAGGTGTGCACGTTGCTCATCGTCCCCATCATGAAACTTCCTAAGTTTGTTGGTGTACCGAAGTATATCATCACGTAAATGTCCTGCTCCAGCACACCTTTTCAAACACAATCACGGAGTCAGCAACACAAGGAGAGTAAATGAACCACACAAAAGGGATATTCCATACATGTCAAATAAACTAAAGCTCCAAATAACATCACTTACTTCTCAATAACAATGTCAACGTCTGCTTTGCTCTTTGGACCATACATGAGAACTCTTGTAAGATTTAGTATGTCTCGGTAGTCGCCCAGTCTAAGAGCTTCTTCATCTGAAGATTGAGAGAGCAAGCTATCGGGCTGCAGAGATAATGAATGCGGAACAGACAGTTGCGGTCCAATATCTGATGCGAAGTTCCCTTCTGCACCGAGTAGAGTACAGATGATCGCCATTGCATAGGCCACTCCACCAAACCCAGTGTGTGAAACAAAAAGGTAACAACCTGCACCACTGTAGAGATAACTTTTAAGTCAGATTGATAACATATGGAATGACAGAAGAGAAGGCTAGATTCATGTCAAAGCAATGTATGGCAGAAATATGTACATCTTACAAAATGCTTCTTATGATCAAATATCACTTCAGTAACCAGAATTCATAATAAACAGCACAAGGATGCAATAGTACTGAAATTCATTAACTTTCCCCATAGTGATGTTATTTGGACACTCATTAAACAGTCACTTTCAGTTCATTTGCAACTAACCATCAAGCTGCACCAAAAAAATCATAATGAGCAACTCGATAATCAAGAACCTTGCTACTTACTCATCCTTACGGTCCTGAATAGCATCAATATCAGAAGCCACAGCCTCCCTTTCACGGGTCAAAGGTATCCTTCTGTATGCTATATCATAGCCCTCGTCCATTAGGGCAGCGTACACCTCTGCAGGTGTCTTCACGTCCTCTGTAACGATGTTTTCCCAATAACCAACAACACTGGATTGATTTGTTGCTGGATTATACTCTTCACGATGCAAAAGCATTCGTCCACCAGAATGTCTCACTTCAGAAACTATGTTTTCTTTTAGCCGCGCCTCCATGTTTTCCACCTGCAGTCGTGTTTTTAGGAGAAACATTGTTAGATTTATAACACTGGCAGAGGTCAAGGTTGCTCTAAGAACAAGTGAAATGTCAACAAGATGACACACCACTGGTCCGGTGATTCCAACATGCTTCAATGCATCAACAGGTTTGTTCAACTCTCTAAGGACAAACGGTGTGCCATTGATGTAAACAACGGCTTCTTCTCTGAGATCAGTCAGTATCACTTTTTTAGTGGCTGATCCCACCTTAGGCATGGCTCCTAAATATGTTAGCATCTCTTTAGCACCAGCAATGGTTGGAGTTGCCATGCTATACACTGGGTATCCATCCACCTGAAGCATACAATAGCAACGGTTTCAAAAGCAGGGACAATAGTGTTTGCTTGCTAAACCACCATAGCATGAGCGAGCATAACACACACTGAATCGAGAGACAAGTGAAGGAATCAAAACAACAGAAAAATAAGTTGAAATGCATGCACCACCTATCCAAGGATCAAAGCGAACAACTGAATCTCAAAAGTGAAAATAACACAGGTTTTTTAGTGTGAAACTCAGCTAGAGAAAGAAGCTTTGTTCAAGAAATTCATCTATTTCGCTATCTAGGGCATATCTTAACAAGCACTTAATGGGTACGGGAGTTTGGTGGTTGGGTAGTTCCACTAAGCTTGCATAAACATTAGTCCAAAGGCACACATTTTAACAAAAAACCTATACAGGCAACTTCCTAGAAGGCAAACCTTGAAAACATGTGGCGCCCCATGAATTTGTATGTGGCTGGATGTCCTTTGACCAGGAAAGAAGTACATTTTAAGTATGCAGCCCTTCCCCAAAACTGAACCACTTCGGGACTTGATTGTGGCCTCCATTACTGCATCTCCATGTTGAGATTCCTGTGGTGCTCTTAACCCCTCCTACATTATATACAAAGAATAGTATTGGCATCATAAAGAGGAACACATCAACAGCAAATAAAGAATCTGAGCACTGCTTCCAAGTTACAAGTAAAAACATTAAAAACTAACAGACAGGAATTCCTTTACAAACTGTTTAATAATAATAAGCTTCTATCCTTGTCTAAAAGAACATACATACAGGGATAGTAAAGAATCGCCCAGGCCTCAGTCTTATGCTCCATTTCATTGCTTGGACCTCAGGTCGTTGATGCAGCCAACTCTTAAAAGTCATTCTAGATTCTCCTTGACCACAAAATCCATCAAATGCTTCGCTTCCAAGATAAGCAGCAAAAGCAATCAACCGAAAATAACGCTCTAGATATTCAGCACCACGGTTCAGTGCCACTCTCCTAACTCTTGGCTCCACATGTTGTTGGTTGATCACTTTCCTATACTGCAGCACAGCTTGGCGGATGTTCTGAAGAGCAGAACATCTGTCGATGATGGCATCTAAAGCCTCACGACATTCAACCCCATTAACAAATAATCTTGTTATCTTCCATAGCAAGAGGATATCATCAATGCCAAAAGCACGACCTGGCTCCTTCTCAGTTAGTACTCCAATAGTATCAGAACTGGACCCAACATTCCCTCCGGTCTCTTCCCCACTTGAGCTGCCACCATCCTCCTCGTCATGGATCATATCATCTGGTAAGACTTTAATTGGTTTTCCATAGTCTACTCGCCGTTTCACAAGACAAGCAATGACTGTACCCGTAGTGGTCCTTCCCCTTCCCATCTGTATTTGGAGAAAAGGCATTCCAGTAAAATCAAGATCAGAGACAAATCCAGTACAAAATCACATCTAATAAATTAACTGAGTTAGTGAACAATCAACCTGACAATTGAAGACAAAAGCAGTATCCTGAGAAGCAGAAGCAATATTTGTTGCCAATATGTCGAAGTCAGAGCTC